TCTGGAAGTATAACCACTGAATGTTTGCAGTGGGACCGAGGCTAGGAAAGTTTCACTCTCTCATGTATAATTTTTTATTTTGAATGATTTGTTTTACAATAAGCATGTGTTACTTTAAATTTCCTTGAAAAATCTATAAGTCAATTTTACTTTAGAAAACAAAGGCAAAAAAAGGCCTGTGGCAATGCTATAAAGTAGTCTAGATTGCTAACTCATCCCAGATTGTTGCCTTTTGCTTTGATCACCATTTCTGTTATTTCCTCTTTCCTGGATTCTGCCTTTTGGCCTGGTCCCTTTGCATTGACAATCTTGAACATCTGTTGTCCCCTTGAAGAGTTCTACTAATTAAGGAGATGGCTTCCATGGTGTGGTAGAAAGACAAACGGACCTAGAATTAGAGGACTTGGATTATAATCTGGACTCATTTGTAGGATGATCTTGCAAATCGAGTAACATTTTGAGCATCAGTTTTTTACACTTGTAAAATAGGGATAATTCTGACTCTATTTTATTGGGCTATTCTATATCTGAAAGCATTTTATAAATTATTGAGCACCATTATCTATCATTGTCATATAATTTACACACACACACACACACACACATATACTGCCTCACAGGGAAATTCCATTTCTTCAATGTTAGACTGATATAATTATTCTCAAAAGTGTTTTTCTTTGATTGAGCTCAAGTTTGTCTCCCCACAGTATATTACTGTGACTGTTTTTCAGTTTACGACAACATAGACTTGGTCCAGCCTTCCTTTATTACCATGTAATAACCAACAAAGCAAATGGATTCAAACTATATAGATTTAGGTCTATTTTTTATAGTAGAATTTTCACATCTTTTTGGAACTTCAGGAACACACTTTGTTCTCCAGTGAAAAGTTTGAACAGCATTTGGAATAAAGGAAACCATCTGAGGTTAAGTGTGTTCTGGTGGCTTCTTCCCATATATAATTGAAGATTATGTAGCTTGATAAAATATTTTCCTTCAAATCTTTAACTGTAAAGAAATGAAGTAAAAATTATGATTTTACACAGCCAATTTATATGCTGTCTTTAGGGGGCAGTGCTAAACCACTGATACGTTTCTTCATTTCTGCTAAAGCTACTGGTAATAGTTAATATAAAATAAAGCTAAAATGGCAATCTTGATATTTGTGATACAATTATACACACCCCTTAATATTAGTAAAATTTTCTAGGTAGTCAAATGAAAATGATAATTTGAAGCTCATTTATTCAGTGATTCATTCAATAAATATTTATTGCTTCATTATGCACAGCACATTGTAGGAGATACAATGTGAATAAGGCAATGTTTTCTTTCAAATAACTTACTTAACAAGGGTAAATAAGCCACACTTGTGTCTGTGTACTGTATTTGCACAAGCACACAGTGTGTGTGTGTATACAACTCTTTTAGGGTAAAAAATAAAATAACAGTACTTACTGATTGTTATGTGCCAGTCTCTGTCAAGCAATTAATGTTATCTTCATATAGCCCTGCAAATAGAAATTATTACACTATGTTTTCAGATAGGGAAACTAAGGATTAATAAGATTATGTGATTTGCTCAAAGTCACAAAGCTTGGAAGTGGTAGAGCTAGGATTTAAATGTATATCTGTTTGAGTTAAAAGGCAATGCTCTTTGCCACTATAGCATCTATCAACTCAAGGTATCTGAAATACCAAATGCAAACACTTGCACAAAGAGCTAGAGACAAGCAGAAGAACGTGATATCATGCATGTTTGTGGGAAATCTGGAAAATTTTAGGTAAGGGACGAAATCTGAACTCTATTTTGAATCAGTGGGATTATAAGAAAATAATAAAAATGATAGTTAATACTTATTGAAGCTGTATGTATCAGGCACTTTATATTTATTACCTCACTTAGTCATCAGGAATAAGCCCTGAGAGAGGTTCCACTGTATTGTTTTCCATTGCATTGATAAGGCAAGAGAGGCTGACAATGGTCTTATCTGGTGAAAATCATACAGCTAGTGAGGGGGATATTTGGAACTTGAATCCAGAACTGTCTAATTTTAGAGCCCAGACCCTTAACCACTACAGTATGCTATGCAGACAAGTAAGGTGAAAGAAAGAATGAAAGCATAGAGCATGGTTAGGCAAGGGTAAACAATTCCACCTGGTTATAATCTGAGGTGAGTGTAGTGGAAAAGTAAAAGGGCTAAAAAATCATTTGACTATAGAACCTTGAAGCCAGATTAAGGAATTTGGATATCATTTGCTGTGAAATGGGAAATAGTTGGAGCTTTATGAGCAGGTAAGAGAGATAAACTTTTTTTTTTTTTTTTTTTGAGGGAGGAGAAAGAGATAGAGGAAGTTCCCTGTGTGATTGGATTAAATCATTGTAGCACCATTAACAAAATAGAAAAGAATGGATTAATCTAAAATGTTGACAATTCTTGGCCAGCTATCAATGTTGATGGTCAGACTGTTAGCTGATCATGAGTTGGTAAAGGAGATACCTTTTTGATCATCTTATCTATTCCTGTCAACAACTTTATCAAATACACACACACACACACACACACTCTTTCAGATTAAGATTTTAAATTTCCCTATATATATATATTTTACTCAAAGGATCTGTAAAATATCCCGGTGATAATTACCTTCTATTATTGATTTGAGAAGTATTTATGAAAGCATGGGCCACTATGTATCAAATTACAGAAATTTTCACTCCCTGTCACAGAAGGCAAAATGCTCTCAGGAGTATACTTGTGTAACAGAAACATATTCACCAAATATACCTCTTTTATTTAAACTGCAATTATTTACATCAGTGTGGTTTTTCAGTATATTGTCTTTTACAGGGTATTGTGCCAAAGGAGTGGTCACAGAACATAGTGGTGAGGGGAGAGCAGGCTTTGCAGCCCCCTAGTCTGGATTCAAATCCTTTTTCTACCACTTGCCAGCTTCGTGACCTTGGGTTTTCCTTGATCTCTCTGGCCCTTAGTTTCCTCATTTATAAAGTGAGAGGAAAAATATTTGCCTCAAATGGCTGCTGTGTGAATTAAAATAGTTAACAGACAGTAGGCCAGTGATACTCCAAATCACATTGTAAGTTCTCAGTCTAACAGTTGTTGTTATTATTATTATTATTGTGTTTTACAGACAGTGACTGATTGGGGGGCAACTTAATTTCATTGCTTCTTAGTTACTGACAAGTGATCAAGGGAAAGTTAAAATGTGAATGCAGAAAACAAATTCTTTTAAATAGGAGGAAAAATAAAATCTTATATTCTATTTTTAAAAGCAACAATTTTGGGGGCAGGATGCTATTTACAATCCAATATGTAGAATATATTTACTTGCTTTAGTAATCATGATCTATCAATGTTGTTCTGAACAGTACATTCAGAGGGCCTTTAGACAATTTATTGTATTTCTTTTTATTTATGTATATACAACTTTTAAAAAAAAATTCAGTCTGCTAAGTATTCAACAGGCTCTTAGAGTATGAAATTTTTCCTCAGTTTCTGCAAATTTTCATGCTTTATTTCTTTGACCCTCCCATCTCTACTCTTAATTTTTGGAGCTCCTGTTGTTCAGATGTTAGAGGTCTTGGTTTGACCCCTAGTTTTCTCCCCTTTTAAATTATTTTCATCTTTTCAGAAATTTTGTCAGATTTTTCTAACTCTTGTATTGGATTTTATGTATTTCATAACTTTCTGTTCTTGTTTCATGGCTATAAATATCTTCTCTCTGAAGATACTATTTATAATTTTTTTCCTCTATATTTATTTTGGTGTCTGTTAGAGGTTTTTCTCAAATATATGATTCTTATGAGTGGAACTTGCTGAGAGGTTGGCTTCACAGTAGAGACTAATACATAGATCCCACCATTTTCCTGCTTATTTATAGATCTTTTTTCTTGGGAGGTCTGTTTCTACAGAGAAGAGTATTCTAGTTGTTTATCTGGGGGTATAAACCTTGCTGCCATGTTGTCTAATGCAAATATGGTAAGGCACTGAGTAGGTTATGGATCTTCATTACTATATAGATATTAATTCTCTTGTTTTTGGAGACTCGGTGTATCTATACTCTTAGAATTCATAATCCTTTTGCTTCAACTTCTCCAGAAAAATAAACCTCTAATTTCTTGCCAGTGGTGAAGATTTAGTTTCCTGGCTGGGTGAAAAGGAGATGGGTCTAGGGGTATAATTCTTTCTGATATTGAGTTTCATTCTGTGTCTGCCCCACTGACACTTATACCTTCACAGGTAGCCAGTCCTTCCAATTCTTTCCACATGAAGGTACTTTGCTTTCAGTGTTCTCATGTTTGCTAAGTCAGGTAATACTTACCCACCTGTGATCCAAAAGTTACCCAACATTATCCAGAAGTTTTCTTAATATTGTTTGTTCATCTCTCCTGTCATTCTTATTTTTATGGTGTAAACATTTTTATAAATGTTCTACCATCATTTTAGTGAGATTTGGGAGATAACAAAGGAAAATATATGTGCTCAATATGGAAGTCTCATTATGAATTTTAAAACTGTTACCCCTTTTATATGTATGATATGAAGTTTTATTTTGGTGGCATTCTGAACAAACAGGTTTGTCAGGAATTCCCATTTCAGTAAAATATTTTCCTGTTAGTGCCCTGACTGCATTTTTCCTTAATTTTATGCCTAAACCTAAATTCTCGATAAACTATAAGATTTTTCTCATTTGTTGCTATTCAAATATTTTATTAGGCCATTATCATGTTCTATTCTTCATTATGAACTTCATATATTATTTTATAAGCCTTTCACACCCAGTTTTTTCACTTTTAACTTAAGTTGGACTATACATATTTTTGTCTCAGTCACAGGGCACAGCCATGTAACTATGGTTTAAAGTGAGCTGACTTGTTTACCAAGATATACCACGTGTCATTTATAGAATTTAATTGGTGTTAAGATATCTAAATATCATTGATATAATATATTGATATCATATAAATTTAATTTCAGAGAACCTCATCTACAATCAATTTGTCACCAGGAGAAGTGGAAGAAGAGGATGATGATGAAAATACATGTGGGCCATCAGGACTTTGGGAAGCATTAACTCCATGTAATGGATGTAGGAACCTTGGCTTCCCCATGCTTGCACAGGTAAAAGTTTGCTTTTATTAAGGTACAATAAAACAAAAATGGTTGCCTATGTTTTTAAGTTAAAATCTCCCTCCCCTTCAAAAATCAAATTAGGATCTTGTTTACTTCGTGGTTTTTCTCAAAGTCTCAAGTAAAATGTGCATATAACTTAGTGTGTAGATGTGTGCATATGCGGAGACATAATTTATGTAAAAAATTAATATTATTTAGTTTGGTTATAATGCAGAAAAGTTGTCTTGTTTATGAGGTTTTAATATTTTGAATCCAGAAATACATCATTTTAAAGAATGCTATTTTAAAGAAGTAACTAAAAGTTATCTACAGATATAAGGAAACATATTATGGCTCTTTAAAAGCATAACCAGTGATTATATTTTTCTCATCACAATGGAACATTGTAGAATAATGTGAATGTGTACTTCTGAAGGTTTTGGAATAAAATCCAAAAATGAAAACGGAACACTAAAATATTGACTATTGGTTTCAAGTCATTTCATATCATTAAGTCTACTTTAATTCTATAGTATCACCTTCAGGTTCCTGTTGAATGTTGTGAATCATATACCCTTAGAGGAGTTTCAGAAATGGCTAAAATATTCCAGAGATAGGAAATTTGAAGTCATGGTGAAAATGTCTCTGCACAATAAGTAAATAACTTAATATGAAAGGGTATAATGGTAAGAGGTTAATTACATAGAATGTGGGTGGCAAAAACAGTCCAGAACAGAAAAGGATTCACAGTACTTATCCAGAAAAGCGTTACATCTCAAAGATATTTTCTCTTCTGTCACAACAAATACAAAGCAATTATGTCTAAGAAACCATCACATCTTCCATATGTCTGTATCATAATTTGATCATAGCCACTCAAATTTCAGTATTAATTTATTGTAGAAAGCAAAGTAGAATATTCAAATCAGTATATAGTACTTAAAAAATCTCTTCATAGGACTTTAAGACAGTTTACTGTAACCTTTACAGAATTGTTGTCAATACATACTAAACTGTGAGTTCCATAAAGGTAGAGATTCAAACTTTGATGCTCAGCATCTGCAGTCTAACGAGTAGTTCCTGGCAAATCAGAAGAATGCGTTGGATGTGGTGTCTCACACCTGTAATCCCAGCACTGGGAGGCCAAGGTAGGTGGATTGCTTGAGCCCAGCAGTTCAAGACCAGCCTGGGCAACATAGTGAGACCTTATCTCTACCAAAAATACAAAAATAAGCCAGGCGTGGTAGTGTACATCTGTAGCCCTGGCCAGTCAGGAGGCTGAGATGGGAGGTTGAGGCTGCAGTGAGCTGTGATCACACCACAGCATTCCAGCTTGGGTGATAGAGTGAGATCCTGTCTCAAAAAAAAAAAAAAATAAAATAAAATAAAGAAAGAAAATAAAAAAAAGAAAACAAAAGAAAAAAAGTCTTCTTTATCAAGCAAAATCTGATGTATATAAAACAAACAAACAAAAAACACCCAAAATATAATTGGAATGAAGTAATAGTTGAATGAATCTCAGTGAACAAATGTGTATATTCTAGGGTGTCATGTCTTCACTTAAAGATTGTACATATAGTTTTTTACCTCATATCTACATGGGTAAAGGGAAAGAAAATTAACAAGCATATGTTGTATTTTATTAGCTTACCCTTATCTGCTTAGCAGTTTATCAATAATTAAATGTTTTAACCTATTTTTCCCCTCATAAAACTGTGTTTGTAAACATGCATTTCCTAACCACTACTTTACCTTATATCTTAAAAAGAATTATTGAAACAAAATAAAGTATCAGGGTATTTACTGTAATGGCCAGATGACTGCAAATCAAAAACTGTCAACAATATGACTGTATCTGATTTTCTACCACCTTACTAACATTTTATTAGGCTTGGTAGTAACTTGCTTTTGGTTTACAATTTTTAATATTAGATTTGTTTTCCCTTTGGCCATTTCCTTGGTGAAGACTGGTACTGTTCAATAAGTTTATTAATTCCTAAGATGTTCTAGTTAATTTACCACAAAATCTTTTCCAGTCTGCAGCTTTCTTTTTGTCTTAATTTGTATGTGTACAAGTGCATCATGTAATTTTTAAAAACTATCCAATTGATTAAGCTTCTCAGTTCTATTTTTCATTTAATTCGTCTTATCTAGAACTCCCTTTAACATAAATTTCAATTATGGCTCTATATTATTTTTTGCTTGTTGATACATAGTTTCCTATGACTTTCCATTGAACAATAACTCACATTCCTCTCATTTTTATCCTTTTGTTTTGGCTTTACTTCTGAAGGCTTGTTTACTTCTGCCTTTCTACTTTTTAAACCACATGACTCAGTGTTGATATTATTCATTATTAAATTAAAACTAGTAGCTGACTTGATTGCTTGCTTTATAAAATCTGTATTTTGTAATTACTATGTTGAGTTTAAAAAGTATCTCTATTGGGATTTTGATTGTTACTGCATTAAATCTATACATGTATTTGAGATGCAGAATTTTTTTAACTGGATTTAATCTAACAAACCAGCAATAAGACTATTTTACTGATCTTTCTCTCACTATAAATTTTTCTTTTTTTTTCAGACGGAGTCTAGCTCTGTTTCCCAGGCTGGCGTGTGGTGGTACGATCTTGGATCACTGCAACCTCTGCCTCCCTGGTTCAAGCGATTCTCCTGCCTCAGCTTCCTGAGTAGCTGGGATTACAGGGGTGTGCCACTATGCTTGGCTAATTTTTGTATTTTTAGTAGAGATGGCATTTCACAATATTGGCCAATCTTGTCTCAAACTTCTGGCCTCAGGTGATCTGCCCACCTTGGCTTCCCAAAGTGTTGGGATTATAGTCGTGAGCCACTGCGCCCAGCCACTCACTATAAATTCTTAAGAATGTGTGTGTGTGTCTCTGAATATTACTGTTTAAGGGCTATCCTTTAGCATTTATATTTGTGTGTGCATATGTGTGTGTATATATACACATATAAACATGTTTTATGTATATATAACATGTTTATATATGTTTTATTGCAAAATATATTAAAGAATTTTTATAGTTTTGCAATTAAAATATACTATATATAGCATATTTCTGTGTGTATATATAGTATATTTTTACATATATAGTGTATACACATACACACGTACACAATTTGCAACATTTTTGAATTCATCTGGTTTTTTAGTTTATTACCTAGGATTCAACCATCTCAACCATTGACAAATGGTAATTTTTAAATATTTTTCTGTTATTATAAGTATCATCTAAATTATCTCTTAAACTTTGATTACAAGAGATGAGGTACCAGGATATGTATTGTTTTAGAATTTTAAGAAAACTGTTACCTAGGAACAGGATCTGATTGATGATAATAAGCATCACGATTTGTAATGAGAAGCAGATTGAAATATTTACCAAAGGAATATACAATTTAAAAAGAGACTGAGTCAGATCGAAGATTTAGAGAAGAGATACAAAATGCGCAGTGCTTTTAGCAATGATCCCTTCTGTGATTATCAAGGTACTACAATGTGGTAAGCATGCTGATGGTCCTTGAATACAAAGATAAAGTTGGTCTCTGTTAAGAGTTGGCAATATGTTCATTTTAAAGCCTCTTAGGGAGTCTCCAGTATCATATGATACTGGACTACATACCACATGAACAACAAAAATTGTTTTATTTTAAAAAGTTTTTCATTTGACATTATTTGCTGAAAAGTGATTTATGATTAGATGTGATTTCTCAGTAATGTAACCTTGAAATTCACAAAGCTAGAACATCTAACCTGTGAAATCTTTTTCGTATTTTGAAGCCATTTTTTCGGGTCTGAAGCACTTTTGGAGACCATTAAAAATCATTAAGCCATAAGCGCTGTGAGGGTCTACTGGTAAACTGCTTCCTTACAATATATACAGGAACCTTTGGGATCTGTACCATTAGTACAGTACTATGTAAAATTTTATATCCCCAGATTTGTTGGATTGGAATAAATTATATTTCGCATTTAGAGCCCTTGATTGGATCCAGCAAACATGTATCAAATATCTTTTATATTCAAAGCATAGTGCTCATCAGAAACATGAGTATCACGGAAACAATACAGACTTAATTGGGGGCCAGGTTGCCTATACATTCTGGTTCTGGATTATCAAACCATATGAGGTATTACTTTAGACTAAAGCAGATTTTTTACTTGCAAAATTAGAATATTGGCTAATCCCGTGGATGTGGATCTTACAATTCTAAAATTATCTAATTTCCAGTTTTTTTCCAGATTATGAATTGATCCTATATTAGGTGTTGTTTTATTTTTCTGTCTCCAAGAATAGTAAAATTGGAGAGAATCAGCTAAAAGATGAGTGCTTTGAAATTGTCTTTCTGTTGTGACTAGATTGAAGTTTGTACAAATTCATGAAAATTTAGAATTCTAAATAACATCAGGGGATTAAAATTCTTGGGAAGATACTAAGAAGATTTACTGTAAATAGAGCTTTTATGGGACAATTGCAAAGCAGTTAATTAAGATTTAAGAAAGGAAATCAAGAGTGAAAAGACTGGGAAAATTAAGCCCTTTCTGGAAAGCATGATTAAACTCAGAATTTGTTTCTCAACACCACCATTTACACAGTGCCTACTATGTACCAGATATTATACATGTATAATCTCAAGGTGATCATTTAAAGAAACAGTCTACTAAAGGTCATAGTTAATGTGTGGCAATGCTATGATTCAAACCTGGAGCAAGAGAGAGAAAGAGAGAGGGAGACAGAGTGTGTGTGTGTTTCTGGGTTCTCATTTTATATTTTGGAAAATAGTTTTAGAAGGATTCTTCTGATGTAGGATCATATCTTTGAGAGTAATCTTCAACATTTTATTCTGTCATCTATTAATTTTATGTCATCTATTTATTTTTTATAATAAAAAATGTAAAGTTAAGGGAAAGTTAAAGATAGTTTTCAGAGCCTGATCATAAATTGCTATTAGTTTTATTGCTACCCTTCCTGTCAATAGAGC